CTTGTTTTTTATATTTTTACAAATAAACCACCTCTGGCGAAGAAACGCTATATGGTGCAGAATAATAATAATAATAGAACCGTACGAGAAGATATTAGTATCACCGACGACACAGAAAACATTCAATTTAGTACATCTGTCAAAAAGCACGATTTTTGCTATAGCAGGTTTAAAACTCTTTCCAATGTTCTGCTACAAATTACGGATCTAAACTACATTCAAATAATAGGTTTTGATTTATATTTTAATACTAGAAAAAAAAAACTAAGAAAATCGATTTATTTTAAATTGTATTGAAATAATTGATTTCGTTTGATGACAATCATCGTACAACAATTTGTGACATTTCTCCATACAATGCAACTTCACGCCATACTTGACATAATTATGATTATCAAAATATGCATTAAATGAAATCAATTATTTTAATATAATTTCAAATTAATTAAGTTTTTTTCTTTATAATATTAGAAAATAAGTATTTTTTTGCGCACCGAAATGGATTTTTTTACGTAGAAAAAGAGAAAAAAAGTTTACAAATATTATGTATCGTCAACTTAACTATTTTTGAGTGATAGTGATTTTTTTAATGAAATAAAAACGGTAAATTGAATGAAAGGGCCAGTGTCACACTTGATATACAATTGGAAAGAGAACCGAAAAAGCTACAATTTGATCAGGAAATTCATTAGTTTTGGTTGTAAAAACAAAACATTTCGGTCAATTTTCTAAGAGGTCTGATTTTTGGCAACAAAATTTTTTCTTTGTAAGTTGACCTACCCTCCCGACGAGAAATTTGCGGTAAAATAGGTGTACGTCGACTATCCGTCGCATATCCGTTTTTGAGTGCGGATACTCGCAATGCGAATAGGTATCCACAATAAAAGTTGCCGCAAAATGTTATCGCTGAATACCCTGCGACTATTCGCGCTGCGATAAATGTGAAGTTGTAACTGGATCGAGTGTGACATTTCGACTTGAAACTTCGTACAACCAACGTGAAGTTGGCTGCGTTCGACGGACTTTTTCGTATTGCGACTATACGTAGAATAGTCGCAATGCGATATTCCGCAAATTTCTCGTCGGGCCTATTTTTTTAAAGAGAAACATGCAGTATAAACACTCAATATATGAAATTCATCGAATTTCGTTTGATTTTTAATTGTTTTCGGTCTTTACAACTACGAAAAACAATGAAAAAATGTAGAAAAATATAGAAATAGTAAAAAAATACATATTTTCTATTTTTTTCAGATTTTTTCAAGTCCGAAAACGATTGGAAAATCATTAAAATTTAATGAATCTCGTATATTGAGTGTTTACGCTGAATAGTTGTCTCATTTTTCTGATTTTTTTTCGGGTTTTTCGGGGGACAAAATTGGTCGACATTTCAATATGCACGGGAAGAATTTCGCCATGTAATGATATGTGTGAAATGGCTTCGGATTATGAAAATACACAAAAAACTAGTAAAGAAAGCTTATACCCGCTTTGCTGATATCTTCGAAATTGTCTACTTGATGATGGTCCGAAAAAATTTAGTTTTTCACATACTCCCCCTATTTAGAATTTCAATACATATTAGGTTAAAAAAATATCATTCGAAAATTGTTTTTTTTGATGGTCCCATTTGGTCCAAAATCCATTAGTCCCGAGAGACCATAGACTTACACCACCTGGCCAAAGCATTTGGAAGTTATGATGGCTGAAGAGAAAATTAAAAAACAAATACAACCAAAGTTGCAGAGCATCAGATTCGCTACTGATGGCGCCATCTAGATTTTCCATACCACAATGTACCGAACTAAAACGAAACGTGTGTATTTTGTTGTTGTAATCATTCACGGAGTGTACCTGCTGCGATGGTATGAATACAACAGCTCTACATTTCATGTAATAATAAATTTTCGAAAATTAGATTGCGAAAACAATTTTTTTGTATAATTTTTGACGAGGAATCGATTTTCGACGAAATTTCATTCAGGCTCATGTACATTTGTCGATTTTGGTTGTATTTAATAGGTTTGGTCCGTTTGTCCGTTTATGATTGCATTTGGTACGTCCGTTTGTTTGTCCGTGCGTTTATCCGAGTGACTTGTCCGTTTGTCCGAGATACTTGTCCGTTTATGATTGGGATTTGTCCGTCCGTCCGTTTGTCCGTTTGCTAAATGTCCGTTTGATTCGGACAAACGGACGGACAAAAACGGAGGAGAAAAGTCACTTACCCATTCTCCCTGTGATAATTAAGGTGTTTAGCAACGATGGAATCAAGCAACTTCGGCAGAGCTACGCCACGATAGTTTTCAACTTTAGCTTTAACACCGCTTTTGTGAACTGGTTTTACAAATGATTTTCCCCAAATCTCAGGAACAACACCAGTCTCCAACGATTGCTTTAGCGTGTGTGTGATGGGTTTTAATAGTGATGGCATACACTTTTTGATGAGAATATTTGGTATTCCGTCAGGTCCTGACACCATGTTGCTTGGAAGGTTATTTATCGTATCCGTAACCAACTCCTCAGTGATGTTACTACTTTTCTTATCTGAAAGAACCATTTCATTCGGAAGATCATCATTCATCTTTTTGGAACCATTCACGATTTCGAAAAACTTCTGTGGATCTTCGTTGATAAGGTTTTCCATTTCAAGTTTGTAGTTTCTATATGCCAAACGTGCGCTCTTTTTGTATTCTCTTCTCAATGTGGAGTGTTCTTTTTTGGCGTAATTTTTTTCTTCAATAGTACGTCTTGCGATGAATTTGTACTGATTATTGACTCTATTCTTCAAATTACGAAGATTAACTTAAATTGTTTATATCTTTTGGTATCGACATGAATTATAAATTCAAAACTACCAACAGGGACTTGTTTAGATTAGACGTAAAACTTCTCTTCAACTTATCACCTCTTCGATAAATTGAACGATGACTTTTGCAGTCATTGAGGTTGACATTAACTCGAATCCACCCACAATTATTTTTTGTCACCGATTTTTTAAATATTGTCAAAATATGTTATTTAAATGGAAAAAATAAGTTCTGCATACTCAGTTTTCTAAATTGTCCACTAGTTTTTTCCGGAATATGCTTTTATTTTGCGATTTTCAGTGCAAAATCGATGAAAAAAGTAGAAATTTAAAAAAATGACGAAAAAACGCACTTTTTTCAACAAATTTAAAATTTGAAGAGCTGTAACTTTAAAATAATTCTAACAACTTTAGATCCAACAGTATCATTCGGTAGTGGCATCTTTTAGGAATAATAAACATGCTATAGCATAATGATATTATCACTCGTTCGATTTTTAGTACCAAGGTTCGTTACTTGTCAAAAAGCGTTACATATATGTAACACGGGGTTGATTCGAGATAATATGTTTAACGCTCCAGTTAGTCTATCATTTCTCAAACGCGTTGTTAGATTGTTTTGAACCGTTGACCAATAGACTTTCAACCGGCTTTCATTAGACATTTTCATGTTTGGTCATTAGTTTATTCATAAATAATAATTCTTTTGACTAGTCGAGAACCATATTCATGTAAAATTGAACTATCTATTGTTATACACTAAATGAACAACAACAACAAAATCAACAAAAATCAAAAGAAAAAATAAATGATTTTACTTACTCGAAACTCTACACTATTTAATTTTGTAAACTATATGTCTCGGATAAGAATAAATTGCAAATTGTTTGCACTCATTTCTATTCAAAGATCATGCGTAATAATGAGGTTCGATAAAACCGCCAGGATAATTTATGCAGCCAATCCAGATTTATAAAAGAAAAACTTCTAAATATACGTATAACATTCGTACTTTCACTGTTGCATGCAATTTAATTTTGAAGTCAAAATTCGTCGTATATATTCTGGTTGTTGTGCGATATTTTACTTTCTGTCATTTCAAAGAAAGAAATCTGAAAATATAGGAATGTTCTGGGTGGGCGATATCAAAACAACATTTCTCAAATTTCTATCAACTTGCAAATCAACCAACCAATCGCGATGAATTTTCGAGAATAAGGACGTGCAACAAGGACTCATCTGAGTACAATAATTGGTCGCAGGCGTTGCCATAGCGGATAAATAAAATTTAGCAACGCCCATATCATCGGTCTTGAATTTCATTTTGGATATGTTTTTCCATATAAATGGGGAATCTGTATGAAATAGCAATATTCTCACGAGCATGGCAATAGGTGCTTAAACTGTACCGATTTGCGATAAGATGAAAAGAGAGAAAAATGCAAGAAAAACGGAAATCGACTGAAAATTGCTCGTTTAAGTGCAATCTTATTCTTCAATTTGTGTTGACTACATTTTTGTTTGTGTTTATATTTCTGGGTACATTGGAAGGGATTTCTGTGTACATTGATGATGCGTTTATGCAAAATGATTTAGTTCGATGGAGGAGCTTGAAATTCCAAATTTCTGGTTTACAGTGTTATGTACACCTATGTATTTACATATCCTGGATTTACGAGAACGAGATGGAGAATGAAAATGGTACTTTTTGACACTCTTGGCGCTCGATCACTGAAAAAATACGTTTATAAAACGATTTTCGCAAATTAAACGCTCGATTCAATTTAACCGTGGCAGTCGTTTAGTATCTTGGCTTTGTGATAAACGTATTTCACTTCTGATAAATATACTTAGTATAAATTTATATGTAGAGAACATCTCCCGTGATTTTTTCTTCTTCTTCTTCCATCCATTTGATCAGAGATTTCCAGAAGAATTTCCTGCAAAAAACTAAATTTTTAGCCAGCTTTTGGCGGTGTCAATAAAATACTAAATAAATACTAAATACTAAAAAATAAATATGCAAGAAAGTTCAAAATCATTTTTGATAAAGGATTTACTCCGCGATCTAGTGCAAAATACAGATTCATCAACAAAAGGTAGAGAATAATCCGATGTGACTTTTCTATTGTAATCATTTAAATTCAGGAATAAAATTATCTTTCAAGTTCTTTCCGTGTGTTGTTTTTGAGAGCTTGTGAACATCATTATTTCAGTATGTGTTTTGAGTCTATTGAGTAACTCATAAAATGAAACTAAACAATATGACACGTGTTTATTGTGCAATAATTTTATTTGCCCAGAGATGGTACACTGATTACAATCACTAATAACACAATAATCGAACAATACCAATTCACACACTTCAGAATCCTGTTTATAGAACATTGAATGTGTTTAACATCATCGAGAATAAATTTTATGTCGAGCCCTAAGCGTGAACCAATCGAAAGATGAAAAAAGTACTCGAGTCAAAGACTAATGATGCCTCTCGATAGGGTGCTTCTATTATTATTGTTATTCGTTGTAGTATAAAATATATTTTGTGAAAAAAAATAATGAATATATGTTTAAAACTTGTCTAGGCAGCTTAGAACAGAACTTAGACGACAATGATGAAAACATAAACGTCGATATTGAAGAGTCATCGTGTGAATCGGAAGTCGATTATCACTCACATAATACAACATCAATGCAGTTGGATGTTGGGAACGGTCGTATGAATGTTGAGATGTTTCACAGTCAACGTTTGGCACCCGATATCAAGACAGGTTTCCAAAATCTCAAAGTCGGACGGAAACCACGTCGTCGTCGAACGGCATTCACTCATTCCCAGTTGGCATATTTGGAGCGAAAATTTCGATGTCAAAAGTATCTGTCTGTAGCTGATCGAAGTGATGTGGCCGATGCATTGTCACTCTCGGAAACACAGGTGAAGACATGGTATCAAAACCGCAGAACAAAATGGAAAAGACAAAACAGCCTACGGCTCGAACAATTGAGGCATCAAGCAACAATCGATAAAGACTTACTATCATCATCTGATCATAATGGTATGATTTTTTCCTCCTTCAATATCAGAACATTTATTCATTTTCATCTTTCAGTGCTGATATTTTACGGCATACATTTTTATATTATTTATAGCCATTGATGTGACATCCATGTCTTGTTGTCCAACTACGTCTCTCCCTTCATTTTCAGCAACAAATCCGTGTACTTTTTTAACATCAGCTGCGGCCGCTGCAGCAATTTTCCGAAATGTTGGCTATGTGCACGGTTGTCCTTTGTAAAAATGAATTAAACCAAAGATAAAGCTTGGTGTTCAGATACTACTATTGAATTTGTTGTGCAATACAATTTTATCCATACAATAAAATGTTATCCAGAACAAAAGACAAATTATGTGTTCTTTTTTGCTTACATGCTAGCTCATTTATTACTGGGCAAACTACTAAAATATCATTCTGGTAACAATTGTGTAACCTCAAGTGTGCCTGGAAGGCGTTTATCTTTCAATAATACTAATTACTAATTGGCGTCACAGAATTCCAAACAATATAAATACGGCGCAATCATTCTGAATCTCAAATTAGAATGGTTCAAAACTCACCCTTAATATGGTAATGATGATGATTTTCAAGGAGATCTATTCCACTCTAATCATAACAATCTCCCGCTGTTCATATAACTTTTGCATACTATTCAACAGTAATTGCTTTTCAATAGAACGGCGTCGACAATCAAAGAATGAGCTCCCATTTTTTTTGTACAGATCTTTGATTACGTCGTACGTGTTTTATTAAGTAAAAAGCCCTTTAATCAGCATCACAGGGATACATACGTCGTATAGTACGATATGTTTGAATACAATGGTAACTATCTTATTGAAATGTAAATTGTTGATTTGTTTGTATCGCAAGAGCTTCAGAAATATTATGTATGACCTGAATGAATTTGTAAATTTTGTTTTCATCCAAATCGTTGTAAAATACTTTTCTCGGAGAAAACCACTGATTGAAGTCGAATAAAAAATATGGGAATCTATATATATAAAGACAAGTTAGTTAATGTATGACTGAGATATTTGGGCTATTGGCTAAAGGTATTCATTTCCTTTTTTTTCAAGACCTCATGAAGATAGTTTATAAGTATTCACCATGTGTTTTCGACGTTACAAAAATAAATTATAGCCGCTTAAATAAAAGTGATATTTTTCCCATAATTTTTCGAATTTTTTGTTTTGAAAATAGCCAATTTTCATTGTATTATTGCTGCCCTGAGTTTGTTATTCAATTTGTGAGAAATTAATAGAGTTGGTTTTAAAAAATTTGGACAAATTTAAAAATTCATAATTCACATATCTATGGGTGAGATTGAGAGTAGTGTATATTTTTTTTTTGGATTTATATTTTTAAAAAAACGAGTATGTTTTTCAGTGATTTTGTTTTAAGAAAAAGAGAGCAAGTTTCTTTCGACTTAAAAATAGTTAAAGTAGAGTATGTATTTTGACTGTTTGTGGCTATGATAAAGGCAAGTATGTTTGATAAACCTTAATTTGCGTTAAACAAGAGTATGTATTTTATTAGTTTGGAATATCAATGAACAGGAGTATGTTTTTCTGACTTTGGTTGTTGGAAAAGGCGAGTATGTTTGTCCCAATTGGTGAATATTATTAATTTGTTTGAATTTAAGTATTAGGCAAACATAATCAATGGAACTAATCATTTGTACATCTGGCGGCTCCCAATACTTCAATTTAACATATTGGTTTTCGAAAAAGTAGAGTATGTTTGAATGAATGTTAAAAATATCAAGTTCTTTCGACGAAAAGTATCAGGAGTTCATAATTGTTAGCATTAAAGAGAGGACGTAATCGAGCTCTGCTTATTGTACGGCATTAGCATAAACGAACAAAATACGAATAAGAGTGAAATGACAACATCACTGAAACCGTAGCGCATGGAAAATAACACAGAAGAAATGCGACAACAAACAAACATTGCGAAATTGCAACGCACCGGAGAGAGTGAGAGAATCTCTTTCACTCACGCACAACAGCAAATATCCATAACACGCTGACAAAATGAAAGAATTTTTCTACTCTTCACACCAGAATTGAGTTTTTATTTCTCATATGCTTTCATCCTCAGTGAGTTTTTGTTACAAACTGCCGAATTAACAATAAAAATAAGTAACATTAGTTCCAAAGGCGATTTGATTTCGCCCACATCCACCAAACTCACCGCAAGCAACATACGACTAGCATTTAGCAGCCATGCATAATATCGCCACTGATCCAGGGGATATTGTCATTTTTGTTGGTGACTTTAATTTTTATTGTTATTGTTGTTATTATTCTGCACCATACAGCGTTTCTTCGCCAGAGGTGGTTTATTTGGTATAAATATTTGGTTATATATTTACAATATTTATAATGTATTCGTATTTTCAGTCTCTCCAAGTTCTATTTCTTCTAAAATAATCAGTTATTCTTTGCTTGACAGTGTTTGTGCTAACATTAAAATCAATTAAATAGGTTTTATATATTTTTGGAATAGTACTAGTATCACAATCATTCGTTTGATTTGGCTCTATGATATTAAAGTATTTATAAAATTCATTATATGTGATGAGCATGTAGTTAATTGGCTCAAACATTGAGTAGTTGTAAATTATGGTCGGCAGCTCTAGGAATTCGGTGTTCCGTGTTCGGAGTCGTGGTGTTTATAAGTTAATTTTCTCCATAATATGCTTCGACGATGTTTGGCCACAGATAACATTGTGTATGAAGCAAATTTGTGCGATTTTTCTTCGTTCTTCTAAGGTAATCATTTGTAGAAATAGCAGACGATTGTTGTATTGTGGCAAAATGAATCTGTGTGGCCATTTCATTTTTCTCAGTGCAAACAGTAGAAATTGCTTTTGGACTGATTCGATTCTAGCGATTTTCTCATTGGTGTATGGGTTCCATATTTGCGATCCATATTCAATGATTGGCAACACGAACGTGAAGAAGAGTCTCTTTATGGTCCATGGGTCATCGAACTCTCTTCCAAAACGTTTTATCCACGCAAGTCCAGATTTGGCTCTAGCAGTTATGTACTCAATATGAGCATCGAAGTTCATTTTTTCATCCAAAACGACTCCAAGGTCCTTTATTATTTCTACTCTGTCAATTGATTTGCCTTCAATAGTGTACTTGAAGTCAAATTTCAACTCGCCACGGTGATATGATACGTAATTCGTTTTTTTGACATTCAAGTTCATGCGGTTACGTTTGAAGTACTTGACGACTCTATTCAGGTCAGCTTGAAGTGCTAGGCAATCATCGACTTGCTTCATTTGCATTGAAAAGCGAGTGTCATCGGCAAACGATTGTAAGTTGGAGTTGACTATGCAATGGGGAAGATCAATGATGAACAGAACAAACAGTGTCGCTCCAATGGGGTATCCCTGACCTGTTCCCGATGTTACTTCAATGGGAGTAGACATGGCTACCATTCAATCTTACTATTTGTTGACGTTCACTTAGATATGACTTTATCCATTCCAGTATTTGCTCATTCAATCCCATAATTTTCAGCTTGTGTATGAGCAGTTTCACGTCTTCCGAGTCAAACGCTTTAGCAAGGTCGAGATATATTTCATCAGTTTGGATTCCATGTTGCATGCCGATCAGTGTATGTGATGTAAATTCGGCCAGGTTCGTTATTGTTGACTTTCCTTTGACAAAACCATGCTGGCTGCTATCGATGATGTTCCTCATGTGATAATTCAAATGATTTGC